AGACTACCATATGTGAAATAATCATGAATTAAAGCAGCTTGTACTTTTTCTTCAAGGCCTACAACGTTTTCTTTTGCGCTTTCTTTCATCTTCTTTATTGCTTCATGTCTTAAAAACAAAATAAATAAATAATTTAAGAAAAAACTCTATTTTTAGATTAATTAATACTAATCATTAAACTGAAAATGAATAACCAACAATACTCTGTAAGAAAAAATATTGGAATTAGTTATAAAGCAAACATTCTCATACTTGTCATTATATAAATTCTTCTCTCTAATTGTATGAAGCAAATTTTTGTGCTGTTCCTCCATTGCAGTGATTAATTTTTGATCGCATTTCAGTGCTGCTGCCTAAAAAATCAGGTGATATTTTTAAATAAATGGATTAAAGTTATGAGCCCAATTCATTAATTCTTATAGATATCATAGAACAAACAGATATCAATATTGACAAGGTCCATTCTACTTTATCTTGACCACTGCAATTTAAATTCTTAATTATATTGATCTAAATCGATGTAGGCAGAACAAAAATATCATAAGGAATATTATAAAACAAACCTTAACTTGGGCATTTTTCATTGATGGATCAATTGAAAAAGCGATATTGTACTGCTCAATTGCTTCCGATCGGTTTTGTACTAATGCATATGCATCAGCAAGGGCCATATGTATTACAGCATCATTGATTTTCAATAATGCTAACTAAAAAAATTGTGAATAACGATAAAGTTTATTTGGGACTGTATTTTTCATTTGACAGAAAGACAAGCCTGATAAAGAATAATCGCATCTGAGGGATAACCAGCACGATGCACCAAATTCCCAAAATCAAACTGAGTACGAGCTTGCATTTTTCTGCAGAATGTAAAAATTAAAAAAAAAAAAAAAACATTATCAGGGAGTTTTAAAATTAGCTGGAAAGCCAAAAAATTTAATAGCAAATAATGAAAAGAAATTATTTTTTCAGCTATTCATTCATTTTCTAAGAATTTTATTCTCTTTCCTAAAAAGAAAAAAAATGTAGAACGTATAGCTACGATTCTTTGGCACATTAAAATATAATTAAACTGATACAGAATATTTCAATATAAAGAATTTTTAGCAAAAGATAGTGTCAGAATTTTCTTGGTCCTTTTCAAAAAAAAAAAAAAAAAAAAAAATGACTCGATTATATAATTTACTTTGTTGTAAAGTGAAGAGCACGTCGAAAACATTCCATAGCTTTTGGAGCATCACCTTTAATTCTCCAATATAGAGCTGCTAAACGCAAAAACGAATCACTAGTTGGTTTCTAAAATTATTCTCTGTTGTTTATTCGTGAAATATTTTAGAAAAGCTAAAAAAAAGTCCTCTATTTTTCATGACAACAAAATGTTAAAAAGCTAAAAATGACCATTTTTAATGCTTTTGCAACATGGCTACCAAATTCAACGGTTGAATAAGTTGGAGGAAGTAACTTTTGAAATGCTGCTTCAGGAATGATTTTCAGTTTGTCACGCTGTTGCACAGACTGAAAAGGAATGTATAAAAACCAAGGAAAGATTTCAAGTAATAATTGATATTTTTTTTTTTTAATATTCTGATAAAAAATTGATTCTTTATTTTGATTTTTTTTTTCTTAATTCTATTGGTTACCAACAGAAGCAATAAGGAAAACTAAGTGTAGAAAATATATTTTAATATAAAAAAAATTTTTTTTTTTTTTTGCTGTAATATTAATATCATACCGGGAAATGTTCGAAAGCATACATACTGAATTGTAAATCATACGTACAATGTGGTTCAACTCTTGGTTTTTGCTTATCATCACCAAATTCAACACTGGCTAAGATCTCCAAGCTGAAAATTTCATGCTGCAAGAAATTAAACGAAATCAAAATTTATGTAGAAACAAGCTTCAAACAACTTAATTTATGTTAATTGAACTAACATCAAGATTCACCATGCTCATCTACCTATGTCAACATTAGTTAGCACTAAGAAGTATAAAGAATAAATTATAATAGCTTAAGACCATTCCTCATCAAATTCCTCTTTGAAAAGCAAGTTTGAACTTGCTTCTGCATAAGATCAAGCAAATATGCATTACCATAATAAATCATAATAAAGTTAACATAATATCTTACATTTATTCAGCTTAACAAAAGAAAGGATGCAAATATAAATTAGAAAAAAAAAAACATGAAATTATCAAAAAGTTTTGAAATACTTACTCCTCAACCAATTTCCCAAGAGAGTATGCTAACAAGAAAGCATCTTTGCTAGTAGACATAAGTCCACCCATTATACAATCTTTATCAGTTTTACGAATTTTCGTTTCTAACTCTGGATCATCGGCATTTTCGTGTACATGAATGTTCTCCTGCAAATAGTATTTCTTTTTAAACACGTAATAGTATCACTAATTAAACTTGAAACAATAATTTATGAAAAATATTACTAACCAAAATTTAAGATATTATCAAATATTTTGGTATTTTATCCATTTTACAGATAGTGTTTTCGTTCCGAACAGTAATAGAGCATAAACAAAACCTCATGTTTTTGAATAAAACTCCGCATATGTGCAATAGTATCCAATTTTCGCCCTTGGTCCAAAAATTGCACCAACGAATGTGGCTGTACCATATGAAATGGTGAATCAGGCTGAAAGGAAAATTCTTAAACTAATAACTAATAAAAATTAATGAGTGAATTTCAATATGATTAACACGATTTCAGCATTTTTCACTCTAAAATTTCAAGAATAATTTTTTGCTTGAAGTATTTGGAAGTGAAAAAAAAAATCGATATGAAAAAGAAACTGCACAAAAAATGAAATGATAAATACTTATATACATTTTATTAAAAAAACAAAAAACAAAAACAAAAAAAACCAAAAAACAGAAAACCATAATAATTCATCGGCCATTCAAAACTTTTACTAAAAGGCTTTCAGAAGTCTCAAATGTAATTACTTCAACAAAAATGTTCGACAATTTTTTCCTTTTTCAATATTTCAAATTGTATTATTTAACAGTTACTTTAGTACTTTAGCAAGCATAACTAACAACAGATTTTATTGTAAGTCCATCATCGGTAACCATCCAATGAGTAAAGCATAATCCATCATATAAAAACAGTGGTAGTATAAAGAGAAGGCAAGTTTCGGCAAATATTCCCAATACCATTTTACTTATTACTTCGTTAATGTCTGAAAAAATTTTAAGCAATTTAAATAAGACCGGAATTTTTCCAAATTACATCATTTTAAATGCATATATCGTTTGATTGCATATTTCATGCCATTCAAATATAATATATACAAAAGGAAAAATTTTTAATAATTTAACACAAAGTCCGAAATTTTTACAACAAAAGAAACCATGAAATTATATCTTTGCATTCGTCATTTTAAAATTTTGAAATTCTCACTTAAAATCCATTTATTTTACTTTAATTATATATGCTTGTATACTATATCATAATAATAAAACCACGGAATGAAATGTATTGATAAAATTTTGATCATTATTTGTTAACAGAATAGAATACTATTCTTTTCACATATTAAATATAACTTATAATATTTGTTATTAACAATGAAATAACAAATTACATAAAGTAGATATGAAATATAATTAAAAAATGAAAAGTATGCCAACAAAACAGAAAATACAAATAAAAACAAAGGATAGAAAACCAGAAATAAAAACATAAAAAAAAAAAAAAAAAAAATTCAAAAAAATTAAAAAAATTCAAACACAGAATAAGCAAAAAAGATATTGACAAGAGGAACAGAAAAAAGAAAAAGTATAAATAAAAATTGAGGACTGAGGACTAATGAGGGTAAAATAGAAATAGAGAGGGAGAGAGAGAGAGAAAGAGACGGGGGGAATAACAAATGGAAAAAACTGAAATAAAAAGGTGGAAATGGAAAAATTTTAAGTAAAAAAAAAAACTGAAAATGGGCAAACTGAAGTAGAAAAACGGAAATAAAGAAGTAAGAAGCATAAATAGAGGATAAGAAAAATAAAAGCAAAATGACAGAGGCAGAAAAGCAAAAGGAGAAAAAATAGAAAAATAGAAAACATAAATACAAAATTGGAAACAAAAATAACAAGTAGAAAAAAAAGAAAAAGAAAAACAAAAAATGAAATTAAAGAAAACAAAAGTTTAAAAAATGAAAAAATGCACGTCTCTCGTACGTCAACACGTACGTGCGCGACGGCCACTTACTGCGGGGTATTTTGTGACTCAGACCACGGGATTAGAAATGCCAAACTGTTATTATTTGGTTAAAATGTTTTGATTGTATTCTGTAAATATTATTATAACTTTTCTCAATATTTCTAAGTAAAAGAAAATTAATTTAATAATTCTAAAATTTTTTAAAATTATAAAATGCACTGAAATGATACGTATCGTATTAAAAGACTTTATTAATTTTTTCATACGACAAATATAGAAATCGTTAGTACCGTTATTACGTAGAAGTGATAGCATTATATTATATTATACTGATTAATGTTATTATTTGAAAGTGGTTAATACGTGGACGTTGTGTCGTTACTTGATTAGTTGCATTTTTCTTGAAAACTACGCAACGTTAATGCGTCGCATCATGTGATTACGTGATTACGTGATGAGTTGCATATAGTAGTGTTAAGTGAAATTGAGTGGTACTATATATGGCGTACCATCCAATCTGACATGAGAGATTCGTCATGTGATAAAATAATTATCTCCTTATAAGGAAGGTATAAATAGTAAGGAACATAAAAATCAATTTTTGGAAAGCAGTGTGAGTAAATATAGATAAATAAGTAGAAGCTTTATTCAGTTTGATTTTTAAATAATTTAAATCAAAGCTAAGAAATTAATAATTTAGGAATAATAAAGTAAATATATGACCTAATTATTTGGATTGTGAAGTTTTTCGGTATTTCTGGTTTGCGCTTTTTCTATCAATTCAATTCCAGGTAAATTCGAACTTGTATAGGTAAAATAGCAACAATGTATGGACATCAGTCGATTCCAAGATCGGTAAGTGCCGGACAGTTGAACGCGATGATGTCACATCCTGGAATGGTGATTACTTCACAACAAATGATAAATACGGTTTGCTTTATTTATTGTTTTACAGTTACTTCTTGTTATATTTCATTTATTAATCAGCGAACAGCTGCTATACACCTACAATTACTATCTCTTTTTTAAATATTTTTTCTTATCTATAAGTAAGTAAGTAAACCAGTATAATTTTATATTTTTGAATTGAATTTTTGGTAATTTTAAACTTGGAGAAAATATTCAACATTTCTAAGCTTGCTTCTATCAATTTTTTTTAGACTGCTCATTTTTTTTCTTTTGCTTTTAATTTTTGAAATTTCGAAGAGATTTAGCAAAAAAGATAAGAAACGGTCGAGACGTATAATGCTAATAAGAGGATTATTATGGCATATTTTAGCAGTTTCGGGACTTTTCGGATGATTATATTGACTGATTGTTCACATGTAGGTGATGTTAGTGATTTGCGTGTGTAGTTTGATACCACAAATTAATTATTTAGTTTAGATCACATATGGCTAACTACTTTAAATCAAAGCTCACCCTATTTTTTACTTTTCAATTGCAGTAAGAAATGGAGTGAAATTTTCATTTTTTTAAATTTCAGCCTCAAGGTGTAATGGTTTCTCAGGCCGGCTATCCGCAAGGTATAATCAACACCGCTCAACAACAGATGATGCCATCACAGACTCATATAAGTCAACAAATGATAAATACACATATGGGTGTTGTACAAGGCCTAAATCAACAAGGGCACATGAACGTTCAACACCAACAAATGCAACAGATGCAGCAAGTTCAGATGGCACCACAACAAGCATATATTCAGGTGAAATTCATATTTAATTAACGCTTTTGACATTATACTGGAAGCCGCAAATTAAAAGTGACCATATAACATGAAATGAATCATTTAATCAATGAATAATTCTTCGATTCCAAACAAATTCTTATGTAAGAATTTATTAAATTTCGATCAATTTTGTCTCGTGTTCATTATTTTAAGTTGCGGACAAATGATTGGTGCTCTTCGTCTTAAGTTGTTGGCAACATAATATTCCAATTCATTTCTTTTTTATTTATTACATAGTAGTTTTTGTTCTCCTGCTTGGCCACAAAGTTGTGACAGTTTTTTCTTGTCCTCGTGAAAAATTTTCTTAATTTTTTAATTTTTTGCGATCTTTTTTTCATAAAAATTTATTTTCAAAAATTTTAAGCAACAAGGTATGTCGCATCCAAATTTCGTGAATGGACAAGCGCGGAGTCCAGCTGTTGGACCTGGTCCACAGGGAATTTCAGTAGGTTTTTTTTTTTTCAGATTCAAATTTTAGGAAAAGTATTATGTAGAAAAAACCTTTTTAAAATCCTTATACTTCAGACGTTATTAGATACTTTTCGTTTTTACAGCAACAAGGAACACCAGGTAGACCATCTTCAACTAGTGGACCGCCATCAAATAACCCCCAAACACCCCTGAATGTTATGTCAACCTTAAATCCATCATCACAGCAAGTTTCTACACCTGCAACTCCTCAACAAGCTCCGTCATCCGTACAATCTACTACTACCCAGGATAACATATCAACACCTACCATAGTACCACCAGATCCGGTATCATTAGCCAGGAACCTATTACTGCGAGACCTTCGGTATTCGCTACAAGTAAGTCAACAGTATTACAACTAAATTTCACAAAATAATTTTTATTTGTCCAATCTGGGGATTGTTTTGAAATATTTGTGCTAAATTTGGCTTAAAAATTTGTCTCTTAATCTTTCCTTTAATTAGGTTTAATTGGATCATTCTTACCCAGTTTCCTATCTTATTTTCTACAAAAACTACATTTTTCACTCCGTGTTTTAGTCCTTTGAATTTGATTTTAAATCTTTAAAAGGAATGGAGCAAAACAGCTGCTGAAGTGGTACGGCCTTCGACTTTACGGCAGGATGGATCCAGCAGTGCGATGCATAATCCAATGTCTGTGAATCCGCAGTCAGTGAATCCGCAGTCCGTGAATCCGCAGTCCGTGAATCCGCTCTCAGCAAATCCAAGTTCAGTAAAATCATTAGATGAGCCAAAGTCGGTCGAAAATTTGGAAAAAAAGATTTTAAGTCCAAGCGAAGCATATATCAATGCATTTGATTATTTCCTTGGAACATGTGATCAAATTGAAAATGATATTGTAAGTTTTATTAGTAATTTACGAATTCATTGCTCAATGGTTTGCACTGACTATAAATAAGACAGATGATTAAAATTCCAAGATAGAAAACATAAAGAAGGAGTAAGGATGAAAATTTAAAAGAAATGGAGGAGAAGGAAATAATTGATGATATACTTTTAATATTCTTAACGAAACCATACAGCTTTGTTGTGACTTCTTTTCTAATTACCTCTAAATAAAGTGGTGTTATTCTGTACTACACCTAGAAATTACAATTATGTTAAAATTAATTCATCTTGTTGCTTAATCCTTACAGATGGTTGTGCAAGAAGCTCAGAAGCAGAGCGTTAAATTTGATAAAATGTTTGCTGGTGAACTGAAAATAGTTGGTGAAATGGCGAATGTGAATTATTCGCAGTATGCCCAAGGTTACGTGGAATCAACGGCAAGGGTTCGGAATGCGATTACTCGTACTTTGAAGAATCTCAATGCCACAATGGAACGAATGAATGCTGCAAAAATTGTTAGTTTTTATGGTATCTGTTTAGTAATTTAGAAATTCATCTATATTATTTTGTTCATAGGTTAATGTTTGTACACGAAATTCAATGGTTTATATTTGTTATTTCAAAATCATACTTTATTAACTGGGACTTCGAGCTCAAATCACTGGCTTATCAAATTGACTTCAAAAGATTAGGAGTTTTTGTTTCATTTTTCGGCATTTAAATATACATAAAGCAAGCTGAAATTTAGTTCTGTTTTGCAGGTTCAAAAAGATATTGAAGAGAAGATGGCGATGTGAATTTTTTTCGAATATAAAGAAACTTGTATTAGAACATATGTGTTTTGTATTTTGTAAAATTTGACGTTTCGGTTTTAGCGAATATATTGAGCTAACAATTGAATGCATTTGAATATTTCATTATGGACGCATGCAGTATTAGGAAAGTCTGTTGTGAAAAATTCTATTTCCTATTCATTACTTTAGATTGATTTCATCGGAATAAGAAAAGATATTGTAAGCAGTTTACGAGCGATCTTATCCATTAATTTTAATCAGTTTTAATTTTCAATCTCTGTTATCATTTCACAGTGTTAGGTTTACTGCTTAAATTACAAAAGTGATTTTTTTTTCAACTTGTTAAGAGAGAAGACTTCTTTAATTTCTTTTATCATCTTCAAAACATCAATGATAAAATAAACAAAAACAATTTGCATTTATTTGCAGTAGTTGGCCTTCATCAATTACTTTCTTTATTTACGTGTCTTTATTTTATATTTATTTTATGCATAATTTAAAATATACATAAAATATTTGCATCGTTTTTATTAGTAAAATGAATGAAATTTCTAGCAAACCGTATCACTGTTCTTTCATACAATCCGTTTTTTTGTCCATCTGTTGCAGTGCTTTATATAGCCACAATAATCGTTCCATTATTTCCACTTCATTTTGATTTTTTCTTAGAACAGTTTGTTTTGTTGGTATTGTTGTTTCTTCTGTGAGTATTTCTCGTGTATTTTCTGGAGTACTTTTTATATTTATCTCCATGGATTTGTTTCCGTCGGTTATTATCGTATTTTCAAATCTGAAAACCAAAAAAAAAAAAAAAATCTTGGAATTTTACAGTATTCAAGATGAAATGGTTAAATATTGAGCTATTTGATAAAATATTAATATTTCTAAGATCTGAAAATTTGGAAAAATGTTTCTTACTTTTTTAAATTCTCTTCAGTAACAGTTTCATTAAGTTTATTGCTTTTTACATTCGGGAATGGTTTAGCTTCAGTGATCATTTTATGTCGAAGTAAAAGTAATTGCCATATTGGTATTGGCGTTTTTGACTCTATTTCTGGCAATCTCGTAATTTGCGATGTTTCTTGTTGGTTCTAAAATTTTTCATTTTAATTTAGAGCTTTTAATCATTTGCTAAATCATTTTTTTGATTTCATTAACAATGTGCCAATCTATTTCTAAATCTATTGAACATCAAAAATCAAATCAAAAATCTTTTTACATCTTTGATAAATTAGTTTTTTAGGTACAATAGCTGATAATTTAATCGATAAAGTATTATTTGCTTAGTGATATTTTGCAATGGTTCATTAAATAAAACTACAAAATTCTATTGTAATCATTTAGATTTAATAGATACAATATGATTTGTAGCTAAATTTGAATTTGTTGTTACTGCATTATCACTTTCCCACTTATTATCTTCATCAATAATTGTTGTATTTAAAATTCCATATTGTGTATCACATATTGCTGTCGCATAGCATCGTGAAATCATCTATGAAACAAAATTGATAACAAAACTATGATAGTAAAAATATACTGCTAAAATTTCAATTATTTTAAATAATTCAATAATTTATTCTGCCATTTCATCCAAAATATTTACTACAGTGCAGCAATTATCATTAACTAAACTTAACTTTCATTTCTAAAAAAAGAAAAGAAAAATGAAATTTTCAAATATTTACTACAATAAAACGATATAGCAATGTTAGCTGTATAAAATAAAAGTAAACAAAATTAATTGAATTTATCTCACTTATTGAATTTTTAAAAAAAAAAGTAAAACCTGTCGAATGTAGCTTTTAGTTTTGTATGGATCATTTTGATATTGCATAAGGAATGAGTTAAATGCGGAATTATTTTTGCAATAGGTTAAATCAGCTACATTTTCACATCGAAATTTTAGTATTTCACCTGAGAATTAATAATAATGAATTAATTGGTAGTGAAATAAATATTTTTAAATTATTTGTTAGCTACTAAAATTTACAGATTTATATAAGCATCAATTATAAATTAGTTTTTGTAATGCCTGCATCTTAAACATTTATCATCTAATTTTAGTAAATTAATTCAATTTTCATAATTATTTATTTATATTATTTGTATCGTATGAAAATGTATAAAAATAAAAAATTTATGTCAATTTCAATATCATATCATAATACTAATTTTAATAATAAAAAGATATAATAATAATTCTTTCATTAATTAATTTTATTTTCGATCGTTTCGTTTATTTTATTTATATTACTAATTACTTCCATCTAAAATATACAAAAATATTTTCCTCTAGATTAAATCACTAAATCAAAAATAAAATAAAAGAATTAATACCTTGTTCATAGCAATAATTAAAACACATTGTACCAAAACCAATTTGTTGACAAATATTTTTTTCGATTTGATAAATATTTGCGCATGTTTTTTTATACTAAAATAAAATTAAAAAGTAGGAAAAAGAAATTTTTTTTTCTCTGATAATAGAAGAAAAAAGGTCAAAGGCAAAAGATATAATTTTGAAAAGTTTTTCATTTAAATGATTAACCTTAAAATTAGAGCCAACAGGTTCACTTGCGCCAATTTGTGGTAGAATCCATGTTTTATCAATAGTTGAAATAAGTTTATTCAATTTTTCAACATCCAAAGTTTTAGCATTTATTGGATTTAAATTTGAAAATGGCTCGTCAATATCAATGATTTGCTTCAGTGATTCCTCATTATTTTGATTAAACTGACCTATAAAAAAAAAAAAATTCATTGAATTGACCTATAAAAATATCATAGTTTAACTAAAATGCTAAATAAATAGAAGTATTAAATTTTTTTAAGTTGAATAACAGCACTAATAATAATAATAACAATGAAGGTGACAATAATAATAATAATGATAATAATAATAATAACAATAATAATAATAATAGTATTAATAACAGTAATAATAATAATAGTAGTAATAATAATAGTAATAATAATAAGAATGTTAATAATAATAAGAATAAAATATTAATAAACAATAAATATGACAAACCTTCAGCTAATTGAGATATACAAAGGAATGAGCAAAATAAGTTCAGCAACACTGATAAAATAAGCTTCATAATCTAAATTTCATTAAATTTTAAAAAAAAATTGAAAAAAAATATTCGAAATTTTATTTATATTTTGACATACAATTTATTGATTTCTTTTTTTTTCAAGCGAATTAAAACGTTTAATTATTTACTCAAAGACGGAATTATCTATTATTTAATTTGAAAATATGCATTTCAAAAAAGATGAAAACAAACTTATTTGATTAATTAGCAACAATAATATATTGTACGATTACAATGAAAATTTTTTGAAAATTAAAAAAATATTTTTTAAAAAATTATATTAAAATAAAATATTCCATATTTATTTACTTATTAATGCTGTATGTTGCATTTTCAATGTATTCTATAGTGTTAAAATTAATTTGTTTAGCATTAAAGCATAAATTTGTCAAAGATTTTTTGTTTCCATTAATAGAAAAGGAAAGTAAAACATTTTTTTAAGATTTTGATTGAATAAAAAATTATTTTTAGATATAAATCAAAAAAAAAAAAAAAATAAAAATTATTATAAACAATTGAAATAATTGTAAACAATTTAACATATTTAAATTTTAAAAGCAAAGATATATTTTTTTTTTAAAAAAAACGTTCAGAAAAAGTTTAAAGGAATAAATTTTGACATATTTATAATATAACTAAACTATTTTTAATAACTGTTTGTAATTATTAAAACTTATCATATTGATAATAACTTAAGTTTTTTAATTTTAATCAGATTCAATTTAAAATTTATTAACAAAATCAAAAAAAAAAGTAAATAAAAATAAAACTATCAATTCAAAATTATTTTAAAACAAAATATCTATTGCTATTTGGCAAATTGTGGAACAGAAAAATGAAATGAAAAAACAAAAAAAGTTTAATTTTTAATTCTAATTCTAATAAAATTAGTGCCTTCTAAATTATTCTACGAAATTTAAAAAGGAATTAAATAAAAAAGAAACTTTTGATGGAAAAAAAAAATTTACTAATTTAAACAGAAATGTAAAATATAAAAATAATACCATTCTATCGTTTAGTTTGTTTAATTTAAATACGATTTGTGTTAAATGGTTATTTAGCTCATTGAAGAATTTCAATGTTTAAAGAGGAATAACTGTCACGATTAGCAAACTTAAAAATGAATTTAAAAACCTGTACAGAAATAATTCAAAAATTGTTTGAATTAACAAATTATACTATTATATAAAATTATATTACAAAAAAAAACGAAAAAAATTCAATTTAACAATTTACAATTGTTAAATTAAAAAAAAAAATTTCTTTTTCCTTTTATTCTTTTCACCTAAAAAATTGAAAGTAACTTGAAAATGAGCAATAAATTATTTCAATATGAAAAAATTTTAATTTGGTCAAAAAATAAACGAAAATTTTATTTTTGTTTAATGAATTTCAATATAAGAATAAACATTTTTTGCTTGCAAAATAAATTTTGATTTAATTTATTGTATTATTTAACAATTGGCTCTTAATAAATTATGCTAAATTTATTAAATGAATTTCAAATCAAACTGATTTTTTAAATTTGATTAGACAGTTTTGAAAATTTAATTCTTTTCATTTTTCATTTTTCACATTATTATGCAAACATCCAATTATGTCATATTGAACGTTAAAAAAATAGATGCATTTTTTTCTGATGCAAATGAAATTATTTAAATTTTAAGTTCCAATAAATAAATATTAATTCTTAAAGTGTTTAATGAATTTTGAAAACTTTTTACTTTTTCGTTTGTTTTTTTATAACAAAAAATTTTCTTTTTCTTTTAATAATTATATTCTAATTAGTAAGTCAATCTATTTAGAAATTAACAAAATTTTATAAACAATTTTTTGGACTCTCAGTTGCATTTTTTTTTTTGAAATGAATACTTTAATGTTTTCTTTTTTGTTATTTTTTTGCAAATTTTTTACAAAAAATAAACAAAATAAATAGAAAAATTCAATTTTAATTCCATTTTGAATTATTTTAATCAATTTTTCAAAAATATTATTTTATTCTTTTTCCTTTTTTTTTTTGTTTTTTTTTACAATTTTTTATTATATTATATTTTGTCTCTCAATAATTTATATTTTGTTATTTTTTTTTGCATCCTATCATTGTTATACTTAAATAATTATTTGACAGTTATCAATGAAATGAAATGAAATGAATGACCTAATTTATTTTGACCTAAATAACTATATAATTAGATGATATCAGATTTAACAGTTTAACCCTATTAAAACTGTTATCATTTCAAATTTCTTCTTTGCCTCGTCTCTTCTCTCTCCCTCCCTCTCTCTCCCTCTCTCTTAAATTTTATTTCACTTTGTTATTTATTGTTTTTTCTTTTCTTAGTTCTTCTCGATTATTTATTTGCTTATAATTTGCTAATAATGATTACTGCTGATAAATATGATAATTCATTGTACAAATTTCTTGGTATCGCTTTACTTATCATCCAACAAACATGGTAAATTTTTTTTAAATATATTTTAAAAATTTGTTTAAATTTTTGTTCAAAAAACAAAATTTGCATTTACAAAAATAAAATTCATTAATTGATTAATTTTTAATTTGATTTTTTTAAAAAAAATAGCAATAACAATAACAATAATAATAAATGGAAAGGTTGTTTAGCATTTATGGAACGATCTAATGAGTAAAACTTTGGCAATTAATTTAATAAACAATCAATTAAAATTATGCAATTTAAAAAAAGAAAGATAAATGATCAATAAGAAAATAGACTTGGTTGTTTGTTAATTGAATAAATAAATATTTTTTACAATTTAAATTTTGCACTGTTAATCAACTGTTACAGTATGCCATTGTTGACTATTACAGTATGCCATTGTTGACCATTACAGTATGCCGCTGTTGTCATATTCAACACAGTATCGTATCACCGACGAAAGATTTCTTACAACAGTAACTGTACTTATTGGAGAAATAGTGAAATTTCTAATTGCTTCAGTTATAATTATTTTAAATGAAAAATCATTCAAGAAGTAATTATTTCTTTTAATCTTTTCTCTTTTTTCCATTGAATAAAAATTTAAATTTTAAAATTAATAAAAATTAACTTATGATGATTTTAAGAAATAATAGGTTTATTCGTACTTGGAATTTTTTTGAATATATAATAAATTTATCTCACAATTTCTTCTAACCTTTATTTTTTTTTTAAATTTTAAATCTTAAAGTTAGCATAAATTGGTTTAAATTAATGTGATGATAGTTTGAAATAGTTTAAAAAAAAAATTTTTTATCATTTATTGAATATGCAAATTTATCAGTGATCTTCTTCAGGTATCTTTCATCTTGCTATAATATTATCATTGGTAATTATAGTGAAACGCTTAAAATATGTTTAATAGCTGTAATTTATGCAATTCAAAATAATTTATATTATATTGCATTTACACATTTGGAACCAACAACATACTGTGTATGACTTACAGTACATTCATTTTTTAATTTTCAAAATATTTCCATTTATTTACTATAATCCATTAAAAAGTGTTTTCAAAACAATTATGTATTAATTATTAGAAATTAATTATAAGAGCAGAAAAGAACAAAAAATTATACTTTTATAATAATTAATGCATTTATAGTGTATAGCAAAATTTTATTGTTAATTGATTAAATAATTTTGATTTAATAGTATGAAAAAAATTTAGCTCATAGAATGAAAAATAAAAAAATGAAATTTATTTAATTTTACTTTATAAATAAAATGATATGAGCATAGTTTTTTATAATTAACATAATAAGCTCAATTTTAAGCTCTTATTAGTTTTTAAAATATAATTTATTTGAATTTATCAATTATTAGTTTCAAAAATGTAAAAATTATAGCTATAATTTGATTAATTATTTTAATGTAATTTCAAGCTCATTTATGAACTATGATTTCCTCTTTGCCAAAATTTATCTCAAAAAGAATGAAACTAAAATAAAAACATTGTAAAGTAATTCTTTCTATTAAAACCAAAAAAAAAAAAATCCCATTTTTTAAAAATAAAAACGAATGAACAGAAATGAAAAAATTTATAAAATAGTAATAAATTACTTATCTTAGTGATAAAAAATTATTAATAAATGGTAGATAGTATTAATTAGTAATGAATAACTATTTCAATATATTATTATCATTATTTGTATTCATTATAAATATATAATTATTCATTATAAATCGAACATAAATTATTATTATTATTATTATTATTATTATTATTATTATTATTATTATTATTATTATTATTATTATTATTATTATCATTATTATTATTACTGTCGTAAAAAAAAATTATTAATATCAAATTTTAAAATTTCAGTTAACACATCAAATTAAAATATTTATTACCGCTTTAATGCTTTGGATAATGCTTGGCCATCATTTTTCATGGCAACAATGGTTTGCACTAATTTTGTTAGCTATTGGAATAGCTAATATTCAAATGCAGCATATTCCATCTAATCAAAATCCTAAAATTAATCAAAAGCCATTGCTTGGATTTATTATTGTTCTTACAATGTGTTTCACATCAGCTTTTGCTAGTATTTACTTCATTAATTAATTTTGAAAATTTTTTATTTACTATAAAAATTTTTGTTTATTTTTGTTTATCATAAAAGAGAAAAGAAAACAAAACAAAACCAAAATTTATAAATTACTAAATTTTATAATTCAGTGAGTTAGCAATATTTTTGTCTTTTTTTTATTAATCCAATAATACAATCATAAAAAATTTAAGTAAAATTTGGAAAAGAAAAAAAAACAACAATAAGTAATTTAAAATTATGAAAAATGTTAAATATTATATGTGTTTATTTGGAAAAAGTGTTAAAACGAAGTTCGATAAATATTTGGATGCAAAATATTCGCCTTGCAATTCTTGGCATACCAATTAGTTGCTTATTAATTTTTATTTCGGATTATGCTACTATTAAAAAAGGTTATTATATAATCATTTTTTCTTTCATTCTTTTCCCTCTCTTTCCCTCTCTCTCTCTCTCTCTCTCCTCCATCTCATCTTTCATTCTGTTTATTTTTTTCCTTAAGTATTACTAATTTTTGATATCACTGATTAAAATAGAATAATAATCATTGAATAACTCTTTAAAATGATATACAAATGAAATAAATTTTATTACTTTCAGTGTATAACAATTTATATTACTTAATTAATCATTAATTATTAGGTAATATCAGGTATAAATTTATAAATTAATATAATGCAATTAAATTTTCCTTCTTTTTTTCTTGTATTCACAATGTAATATAAAATATATTCAATGGTAATAGTTAATTAATAATTAATTAAGTTAAAATGGTGCAAAAATTTATATAAATATTTATTAGATTTCTTTTTTCGAAAAAAAGAGAAAATAATGCGTTGATTGTAATTTATTACTTTTGAAAAAAAAAAATTAAAATAAATTTAAAGATGGAATGTTTCATGGATTTGATATTCCTGTATGGATATTAATTTTGATGAATTCAACCGGTGGTTTATTAATTTCTATTGTTATCAAATATGCTGATAATATTGCAAAAACTTACGCTCAAGTAAATAATTTATTTTTTTTGTTATTTTTTTTGTTTTCAAATAACAATTCAGTAATGTTTATCAATTTACAAAATAGTATTATATGATAACAATTAGAAAAATTCTATAATGTTTGCTTTTCCCTTTTTTTATTCATTGCTATTATTATAATTACTTTATCACTACTTATCATATTTATGATAAAAAAAAATTTACTTTCAGAGTGCATCAATACTTGGTGCATCATTTGGCTCCTGGATTCTATTCAACTTTACACCACCATCACTACTATATTGTTTAGGTGGCATAGCAATTATCATATCAATTATCATATATAATTCATATCCTTATGAAAATCAACAAACGATTAAGCCAAATAGTTGAATAATCTTGGATATTGATAATTCAAGATTATACGATCATAAAAGCTAACCAAAAACAAGAAAGAAATTGCAGAAATTTAGAGCTTAACCGATTAATTATTTAATTAATTAATTAATTGAGATATTATTAGTTATAGTAACAGATTTAAAAGTGATCAATTAAGATGAGATAATATAAAAGATAGATAATAAATGGTATAAGTAATATACATTTCCGTTCTATTATACTTTAATTATAAAATGATTTGTTATAATAGTTATTTTGCTTTAATCATTTTAATATTGATTTTGAAAGAAATTAAAATTAATAAATAAAAGTTCAAATATAATAAAATATTGAAAATCATTAAAAATGAAACAAACATTATAGTAATTGGAAATTTAATTAAAAAATGAAAAAGCAAAAAAAAAAAAAACTATAATTCTGTGATATTTATATTCTCATCATTTGATATCGTTTATCAGAGATTATTTTTTTCTTTTTTTTTTGATCTGGAAATGGTATAGATTTCTTCGGAGATAAATCAATTATTTATTATCATTAAAAGATATTACTGATAAAAGATAAAATATTTTACATTTATTAAATCAAAAAAAAAATCAGTAATTAGTCTAATTTTCGAACATTCGCATCAAAATATCAAATAATAATAAATTAATTTTTATAAGTTATTGATTTTTCATATAATTTTTATAAGTTATTGAATTTATAAGTTATTAATTACCGATTTTACAAGTTACTGATAATAAGAAACTTAACAATATAATAGAAAAATGATATAACAAATGAATGAAATATAAATTCGATTAAAAAATTTAAACTAAAAGTATTTCTTTGAGATTCTTTTTTAATTTCTCAACAAATATTCCATTACAATAGCTCAAAAAAAAAGAAATAAATGCTTAGAATTTTTAAAAATTTATGATTCTATGAAAAAAAAAAACGAAATGCGAGAAAGAGAGAGAGAGGGAAAGAGAAACAGACAGAGGAAAAATATTTAATGTCAGAGAGATGAAATATATTTCTATAAGACATATAAAAATTTAAATAAATTGTAAATTAAATAATTAAAAATTTGATATTTCAAAGTTACTAGTTGATAAGGAAAAAAGAAAAATGTGTTTATTTTAATTATCATTGTTAATATATCAATAATCATTATCATAATTTTAATATTTAATTCTTTTATAATTTTTGTTTAAAATAAGAATATCTCTATTTACATGATAATTAGTGATATGTAATGATAAGTGATAACATATCAATTTAAAATTTTTCATCATTGATCATTTCTTGCTATCGCAAAAATTGCATAATTGTCTGATAAATGCGTAACACAGTGTGAGTCATTTATGTTCGTTCATTCTTTCTTAAAAATCAGAAAAAAAAAATTTTATCTTTGGAATATTTATTCTTCCTGAAATTAATTATTTTAAGTGTTATTATTGTTTATTGTTATTGCATATTAATTTTTTGAGTGTTATTATTGTTTATTGTTATTGTGTAATAATTTTTTAAGTGTTATTATTGTTTATTGTTATTGTATAATAATTTTTTAAGTGTTATTATTGTTTACGTATTAATTAATAATTGCAATTTATTTCCAATTTTTTGTACTTAATTTTATGATCATTTAGTAATTTTAATTTCCATTCTAATATTTCGTGATTTTATCAACTTATACTAATTGTACTAATTATTTGATCATTGCAGTTTTTTGTTTTTTGTTTTTTTTGTAATTATAAATATTTGCCAGAAATAATTTTATTTTATAGATCCATTACTTATGCTTGTAACGTTTAAGTTACGTGACGCAACGCTTAGCCGTACGCTTGATTTCAGAACAAAAAAAGTTGCATGTTGAAAATACTTTGTCGTCATTTACTGTTGAAATTTCACATCGCGATTAAATCAATGTGAAATACATCGAAACTGTTAGATTTACGTTACAACACGTTGACTACTCCAATATCACAGTTTATTGCTTATCTCAAATTATAATATTGCAAAATGGTTCTGTTAACCTGAAATTGGGACGTATATGTCTATGTATGCATGTGTTTACGTGTACTTACGTACAGACGCGTGTGTTTTTAACTAGAAAATTAATTAAAATGATGGTGAGGAATTAAACTTCAAATTGTTAACTCCTAGATCTTAGAGTTTAGATATATTTCCTAGATCTTAGTAAATGTTAGAGTTTAGATGTATTTTACATTGATTTATTTTTTAGTTCGTTATTTTTGTTTTAAAATAATCTGAAATAAATTATAAATATGTCATCGTTAGCTTTAAAAAAAGACATAAAAACAGGCTGATGTAGCACAATTTGAGACATTCTGTTGTAGAAAATTCAAGATATTCTGATGTAACAGAGATGTTACAAATATTTTGATTAATGATAAGTGATAAAAAGGAAATATATTGTGGTTAGAAGTTATTATTCTTTCTTTTTCAATTCACAGATTTAATTTGATGACCAATCTTTCTTATTTTTTTCCCAAATTTTTATATTTTGGTTGAAATTTATCAAATTTCATTTTTTTTTCTTTTCTCAAATTAATACAACAAATTTTGTTCAGTATTTGTTTATAATTAAATGCATATATTCCACTATCTATGTGCAGCAATTATTTGTGAATAAAAAAACTTCATTATTGAAGTCCCAGCATAATATATGGTTAGCTAGAATGAATGATATTGCTAAAATGAATAGATCTTTATAGATATTGAATTTTAAAATCATTGCTTATTATTGTGAATTTGTTGAAATAAAAGAAATATTTGCAGGGAATTGCAGAATTGCATCTATCATCGATGGTATCCATGATATCAAGGATTTTTCCATTAACACGATGTTCGTACAGTTCAACAACAACAGCGATCGGTCCCTTCTACGATATCATCATAATTGGTGGTGGAATGGTTGGTAATGCGATGGCTTGCTCTTTAGGTTAGTTAAATTCTATTTTAGTGTAATTTAATCAAAAAATTTTTGACTATTCTCTTGATTTTCATTTCATTTTCAATGTTTCATATAATCTGGTTCATTAGTTATCCCAAATTCAACATAAAAAGGAAAATTGAAGCATAAAGGATATGAAATATCTGTGAAGCATTGTTGCTCATAAAATGAAAAGTTGTTATTTGTTTTGATCAGGATTGAACGATTATTTCAAATCGAAAAAGATACTTGTAATAGATTCAGCAGAAATTAAAGCACCGACAAAAGATTCACCATATGGAAATCGAGTTACTGCAGTGTCACCTCCGTCTATATTACTTTTCCAAAGTATGATTAAACACATCTACACCTGTTTTACTTGATTTTATTCCTAAATTGAATTTTCTTTCTTCATATAATAATTACTTGCAGAATTGGGAATTTGGAATGATCTTGTGAATCTGAGAGTGAAACGAGTCGATAGACTTCAGGTTTGCTACTTTAAGAATTACTAAACCGTAGCTAACTAAACCTCACAGACCTGTATTAATTAGGTCATAATTAAATTGGAAGTACATATTTATTAGAATCGACTAATTGATTTTATCTTTACAATCAGTCATTAGTTAACACTTGGTTATCATAAAGCCAGGATTTGAGGGTTAATTAATTTGCTAAGTGGAATTAATCATTCATGGGAACCTTACGATTTCTTTCTAAAGCTTCCCAACCGTAAGAGAGTTTTAATTATCACATTCAAAATTCATTTGTAAAGTAAAACTCATATGTAGAGTATGAAGAATTATATATTATGCATATATCTAGGTTCTTGATAGCTGCTCGCAGTCATCGATACGATTTGCACAACCAGATCCAACTAACGAAGTCGCGTATATGATTGAAAACCATGCAATTGTCGGGTTTCTTTCAAATCGTATCAAAGCAAGCTGTCCAAATGTCACAGTTAGGACGAAAGCAAAAGTGATTGATTGTAGGTATGATAGTACTGAAGAAATTTTTCCTTGAAACTATAAAGTTTTTAAATATTATGAAATGTTAATCGCACTTATATGTCCACAATATAAAGTTGCTTTCAGCACTCCTTCTGGTTTAGATAAATTTGCTACAGTTGCACTGGATGATGGAACCAAATTGCAAACTTCTCTTATTGTTAGTATTTGCTAAAATTTTTAAACATTCCGAAAAATTATTCATTTCATTGCTAGTTACTAGTTGAGATTTTAAAATGATGTGAAAATAGAGGTTGAATTAAGCGCTTTTTTTATCAAAAATTGTATGAAAAGAAAAGTAATATTGGGTTAACATGAAATTTATATCGTTAAATTACAAATATTGCTCATATCATTCCTTATTTAGTATGAGGAATAGAATGTTTTGTAGATTGGTGCCGATGGTGCTAGAAGTATGGTAAGAGATATGCTTAACTTCCAGTATACCTCATGGGGATATGGACAGTCAGCAGTGGTTGCAAATCTTCAAGTGGAAGCTGTAAGTTTTCCCATTAATTTGTTTGTATGACAGAGTGATATTTATGCATAATCTTTTTTCTCTAATCAGTTATTATCACTTAAATTCATTCATGCACTAAGCTCTTCCCATTCTTTAATTTCATATTTTTATAATTTGCTTTTTTTCGGTTTTATAAGATAAATGACGAATTTTCGGTAATTTACCCGAGAGATTATTTTCTCTTCTCCTTCATTTAAAAGTTTCATGTTATTTTCCGTTATTTATAAATCATGAATATATAATGAAAATGACTTATTTTGTATTGTGTTTTTTGAACATTTGATAAGCATGATTTTCTCTTTTTCTATCTGTAAAAAAAGGAAATTTTTTATAAACTGTGACATGTGCCAATAAACTAGCTCAAAATTTGAATTGAAAAAACCATATATATAATAACGATTATTTCCGATGGAAAATAATTGCGTTGCATGGGAAAGATTTACGCCAAGTGGTCCTGTAGCTCTTTTACCACTTACTGAGAATATGAGTTCGGTGACTTGGTCGACAAGTGCGGAACATGCTGAAGAATTGCTTTCATTACCACCAGAAAAGTTCGTTGATGAACTCAATGAATTCTTAGTAAGTTTTTCTATTTAAATTCCTGAAATATTCTGGTATTTTTTGATTTTAATGCTATTTTGAGTTGCAGATTCGGCAATTTGTTACGTGTTATAATATTGTTAATTAAAATGAAAGAGAGAATAATTTGTGTTATTGATGTTTTAACTTTAGTAGAAATAAAAATTGATAACGCTTATGAAATGTATAACTAAATAATTGTTACTTTCATGGGAAATTACACACTGCGAAATATGTCGCATTTGAACTAAACAACTGAAATTTAAATAGTAAGTTTGTTTTGAAAAAAATTTTCAAGTTTTTTGTTTCAGACTACTGACATTCATCAAGATTCTGTAACAAACCAATTTTTGTCACTAACAGAACAAATACTAAAAGGAGTATTTTCCGTAAGTGAGAAGCCAAGACTTACGTTTCCAACGGTCATATCTTTATATGAAGGTACTCGTGCCGGATTTCCGCTGGCTTTTGGGCATAGTTATAGTTATGTTATACCAAGAGCTGCACTAATTGGGTTAATTTTTATATGCTTCTTCACTAAGATAAGACATTATCGTTAACTGATCTTTAAAATCAATGAAAATCTTTTTACTTGCAGTAATAAATAAATTGAATTTGATCGAAAAGTTAATGATTCATGAAATGTTTAAGATATGAAAATATTTAAGCATTTTTAGCGATGCAGCTCATCGTACTCATCCATTAGCTGGACAAGGAGTTAATCTTGGATGGAGTGATGTGAAAATATTGCTAGAATGTTTACAGCAATGTGTTGTTGAAGGCGCTGATTTAGGTTAGTCACTTTTTTTTTGGAATAGTTTTTCTTTTTTTTTTTTCTTTCTTAGTAATTTTGATGAATATTTCAGGTTCGCTTACGTATTTATCTGATTATGATACACAAGCACAGCGACGAAATGTACCTGTGCAGGTAGCATGCGATTGGTTGAATAGACTTTATTTGACGACTAGTATGCCATTCATCCTTATGCGTTCGTTTGGTCTTAACATGGTCGATAGATTCACACCTTTAAAAGTATACTGTTTTTTTCTCTCTAAATTGTTTTGCTAATCTGTAATTTTTTGTCTTAAAACGTACTCTTTTTTTGAGTTTATTGGGTTCAAACTTTTGCTTATATTTATATGTTCCTTTTTTTTTTCTATATATTTGGCGAAAATTCGTGAGTGTTATTATGTCAAGTAATATGAATGAGTCTTGCAATAGAAAATGCTTAGGTAGATATCACTTCGATATTCTTTAGGAGTTATCTCTCATTACTTCAACCTCCACCAGAAAAACATTCGGGGAGCACTTTGTTTTTATAATTTTTGCAATTCTTTTTTCGAGCGATTCTTTTTTATTTTATTTTGGAATGCTTTCGTAAAAGAATGATTACTTCGAAATAGTCATTTTATAATGATTACTTTTTTATCTCATTTTAATTTTACCAAAAATTACAGGATCTTATTGTTTATCGAACATCAACGTAAACAATACGCTACTGATATAACAGCGACGTCAACAATAGCCGCATAAGCAATAACAATTGGAATAGTAATGGAGTAGTAAATAGCTAGGGATAAATTATATTATTTAATTGACGTGGTAATTTTCAATAGGTTTTTTTTTTTTTTTTCTTTTGTGATGTCGAATTGTTCATTGGAAATTTTCGTTGTAGATAAGTAGATAATTCCGACTTTAATTTGTTGTATGTTTTAGTTAATGATTCAGGTTATTTTTAATGTTTGATATGTTTTAGCTAGTGATTGAGGTTATTTTTAATATATGTCAGATAAGCATTGAATAGTTGACAGTCTCTTCTTTTCAACTTGTTATTGTGGAAATGCAGTTACTGACTAATGTTACGATCTTGAAAGATGCGAGTCAAAGTAATCTTAACTCTGGTAGAGCAGTTGACAGTTGTGGAAATGTAATTCAAATTAAATTGAAATTAAACTTAAAAGCATTTTACATTTTACAGAAAAAATTACTTATTCTTTGTTGTTATTTCATTATGTCATTTGCTCATTTATTTGTTATATTGTCAGTGTACTTACTGTTACTCATCAATTAATAGTTATTATAAATACAGTAACTAAAAATGATTCAGCAATAAAAAGTTAAAAATAAAATATTTTATCATAAATAGCTGGCAAAAACAGCCCTTTTTGAACAGCAATGTTAGCTTTACATGAAAATAAAATAAATTAATTGATATCATACAGTACTATAGAATAAAGCATTTTCTTGTATTTTTTGCGAATATTTGAATTAATTTAAGATAGATAGGTACACTTACATGGTTATGAATTGAATTAATCTAAATTTAATTTGATCTATAATTTAAGCTATCTCATCTTTAAGTTAATTTCTATTATTTCCGGAGCAAAAAGGAAAAGAAAAAAGCTGTGTACATGTGTAAATTTTACGAAAAAGTTTTGTTTTTTTTTTTTCCTTTATATATTTAAATTTTCTTTTTCGTTTTTCCTATTTGTTTTTTATTTCTCTCAAATGATAAAATGTTTGATTTCAATCACATTGATTTAAAATAAAATGCGAATGAATAAATATGATGGTTACAGTTTTTCTCTTCTTTCTTCTTTCTTTACACTTTTTTTCTTTTTTTTATTTCTAACCCTTTTTTTTTCACCACAATTTTTTTCTTTTGTTTTTGCTTGTTTTTTTTTTTTCGCCAAAATAAGTAGGTAATATTTATTCTAGAATATTCTCTTCTCTACTTTAGCTAAAAATTTTGCTCACCGATAAAATGGGCGCTTTAAAAAAAAGTACAAATAATCATTTATTATTAATTAGTACTTATCAACTTGTTGTAGCAATATTTAATGCATATAGTAGTTATATAGTTGAAAATAATCTTTTTTCTCTTTTTTTTTTTATAGGATTATTTAGTTTTTTTTTTTTTAGTTAGTTGAAAAAGTAATTGTTTACATAATTTGAATTCTTTAAAGGATTATTTAGTTTTTTTTTTTTTAAAAAAAATATTTTATAATGAATTGAAATTAATAATTTAGTATAGAAATATAGTAATGGATGAAAGTGAGATATCAATGGAAGAAGAATTTAGTGGTGGTGGTGAATCATCACAAATTCGACGACAAAATGTCGAAGATGAAGATTCACCTTGGCCAGTAACAAGACAACAATATAGACTAGAAGAAATTATTGGAAATGGTTCAACATCAATCGTTTATAGGGTTATTAAATTTAATCAAATATAATTACAATTAATTTATGTTTTTTATTTCGAATTATTAAATTTAATTTTTTGTTTTATTTGATATTTTAAATGTTTTAAGTTTAGCTAAATTGGAAAATTTTCATTTCTTTTATCGTTCTCATTTTGTTAACATTTATTTAAATATTATATTAATTGAATAAATAAATATGAAAAGTTAACTTTTCATTTTTTATTTTTAAGAATAAATTTTTTTCTTTTGTTGTGATAGATAATGAAATAATAAATAATGAATTTATATTAATATTAACAGCGCAAAAAAAAAGAGAAAACTGCTGGATGAAATTAACAAAACATTAATTTGGCTTAATTTACTATAGTTTTTGTTCCAAAGATAATTTAATAGAAAGAAAGAAATCAAAAAATTAATTAATTAAAAAATGACAAAATAAGTGGAATAAGTAGAATGATTGTTTCGTGTAATATTCGATTGTTTATTTCAATATAATTACTCAATTTTATATAATATATCATTGCATTATTATTATTATTATTCTTATTATTATTATTGTCAGTATCATTTATTATTATTATTTATTTATTTATTTATTTATTATTATTATTAGAAAAAGTTCACAAAAAATATTCGTTAAAAAATTTTTGTACTATGCTATCATTTATTATTGTTGTTATTATTATTATTACTATTATTATTTATTATTATTATTAGTAAAAGCTCACAACAAATATTAATCAAAAATTTTTCATACTAAGTAATTTGATATAAATTTAAAATATTTATCAATGAATTCATTCAGCAATTTTTTCCGTTAAATTTCAATTTCTATACAAAATTGTGTGCTAATAAACAACAAAAAAAAAAATGAGAGAAGGAAGGAAATGAAACCATTTTCAGGGTATTTGCACAGAGCGAAATGAAATATGCGCAATTAAACGCGTCGATTTAGAAAATTATAGTTTATCGCAGTTAGGAAGAGAAATTAGGGTAATTCTTTCCACTTTGATTATTTAATTATATAAATAATAATTTTATTAAATTTGTTAATAATTCAAAATTTTGTTTGGGTAAAAATTTTTGCAATTTCTAAAATTTAAATCAGCAAAAAAAAAGTAAAATAAAATACAATTGGAGATACAGATATAATAATTATTAATTTAATTTAATTTAATTTAATTTGTTCGTTTTTTGCTTTAGGGATTAAAGGAATGTAGACA